AAGGAGGTATATAAAATACCTCCATTGCATAAGTATTTTAATACTTCTAAAAATTCAATTAATCCAAATGTAACTGTTATTTTAAAGTTGACCTTATGTGCTTTGTAGAATTGACACAGCTTCTAATATTTCAGATAAGTGCAGTATTTATTGTTTTGTAGCACTTCAAAGGAAGTCCATGATATAAATTTTCTAGGCTCTCACTTTTACAATAAGAATTAGTAAATTCAAATAATAACTAGGAAATGTGGGATATATGAAACAAGTTGAGAGAGATTAATGGTGTGGCTTTTATAAAAGATAGTATGAAAGGAAATATACTATATGTTGCAATCGGATAATATATAAATTATTATGTTTTTCCTGTAGTTTTGAATAACTGGTTTCTTACTTTTTTTTTCATAGAATCCTTTCAGAAGTTTCATGGGTACAGCACCGATAAAATTGACTTCTCTTCCTTGTTCTTTCTTCAAGTTGTTTTACTCTTTTTCCAATCATTATTATTTGGCTTATAACTTTTGTCCATGTGACTAAATTTTGTCAAAAATATACAACCTTTTTCTCAGAAAAATTGTTGTAGTTATAGCTATCACTTAACAAGACATACAAGGTCTATCCAGAAAAAGTCCAACCATTAACATTGTAATATAACGAAAACAGTTTGTGTGACATCAGTGTAACCTGGCAGCCAATGAGAGTGGACAGACTGTGCAAGTGCAAACAATGAGGACTTCTCTGTACTAGTCAGTGGGGGCAGGGCGGTTCATACTGTTGAGTGAGTATGTGTACTGTGTGGCTATCACATTCAAAATGGGTGAGTACAGCAATGAATCTGCACCAAATTTTGTGTTAAGCTTGAACATTCCTCTGTAGAAACTATTCAGATGATTCAGAAGGCTGTAGCTATGGGCAACTGGTGATTGGCAGCTTGATCACCGCAAAGCACCTGCTCAGGCATCACATCTTGTGCAGAGATTTTTGGTGAAACTTCAAATCATCCAGATGACTCAGCCCCCCTACAGCCCAGATTTGATACCCCAAAACTCCTGGTTTGTCTCAAAACTAAAATCTCCTTTGAAAGGGAATAGATTTCAGGCCATAGACAAGATTCAGGAAAATATGACGGGGCAGCTGATGGCAATCGGGAGAACTGCGTGAGGTCCCAAGCGGCCTACTTTGAAGGGGCCTGAGACCTGATGGTCCTAAGTATGGTGCTTGTTGTCTCCTGTATCTTGTTCAATAAATGTCTCTATTTTTCATATTACATAGCTCAATACCTTCTGGACAGACCTCATTTTTTTCTGATTGTATCCATAATAACAAAATATAACATTAGAGTTTTCAACAAAATAAACAAATAATTAATCTTTAGAAAAATAATTTTTGTCTTTATTATATTTGTCCATGACAATTTAGCCCCCTTATGCTCCCCACCCCTGCATTCACCACACTGTTGTCCATGTCCATGAGTCCTTTTTTCCTCTTTACTCAATCCCTCTACCCTCCCCAGCCACTACCTGTCATCTGCTCTCCATCTATGAGTTTGTCCCTATTTTCCTTGTTGGTTCAGTTTGTTCATCTGAGTGATTAGATTCTACATCTGAGTGAAATCATATGGAATTTTTTTTCTGACTGGTTTCTTTCACTTAGCATAATGTTCTGCAGGTCCACCCACATTGCCACAAAGTATAAAAGGTTCCTCTTTTTTACAGCTGAGTAGTATCCATTGTGTAAATGTCCCACAGTTGTTTTATCCACTCATCTATTGAAGGACACCTGGACTGCTTCTATATCTTGGTGATTGTAAATAATGCTGAAATGAACATAGGGGTGCTTATGTTCATTCCACTTAGTGTTTAGGGTTCCTTCTGATATATTCCTAGAAGTGGGATTACTGGGTCAAAAGGCAAATCCATTTTTAATTGTTGAGCTAACTCCATACTGCTTTCCACAGTGGTTGCACCAGTCTGCATTCTTATTAACAGTGCAAAAGTGTTTCCCTTTCTCCACATACTCCCCAGCCCTTGTTTATTGATTTATTGAGGAAAGCCATTCTATCAGGTATGAGATAATAACTCATTGTGGTTTTAATTTGCATTTCCCTGATGACTAGTGACTTTGAACATCTTTTCATCTGTATGTATCTTTGGAGAAGTGTTTTTTCAGGTCCTTTGCAATCATGTTTAAATTAGAAAATTTTGACCTAGAAGAACTAGAAAAATATTCATCATGCTAGAAATCAAGAGATAGTGTACAAAGCATTTACAACACAGACCAGATTTAGGTACATCTCTAATCTGTATCCTTACATGCTTTAAAATGTTTTAAATTAGATGCACAAAGTGTTCTTGTGAGGTCTGTAGAAAATATATGTAAAGTATCTATGGTAATTACTGGCATCAACATACAGTGGTAGATATTATTAACAGTGATTCTAATCATTAATAATTATAAAACTGTGGAATCTTCAAAGGCAGACATCCATGATTCATTTATACATTCTTCCTTAAAAGCAAATTTTGTGATGAGAAATCTTTGCAAGTACTTCATTCAAAGAGAAGGTTATTTCAATGAATTCAGTTTTTTTAAGTTTCACATATAAGTGAGATCATACAGTATATGTCTTTCTTTGTTTGACTTATTCCATTAATCATAATGCCCTGAAATTTTATTCATGTTATTTCAAAAGGCAAGATTTTCTTATTTTTATGCCTGAATAACAATTTATTATATTTGGAATATATTTTGTCTATCCATTCATCTGCCAATGGCTCAGTAAATATTCTTTCCATGTCTTGACTAAGTAAATAATGCTGTAGTGAATATGAAGATGCATATATCTTTTTAAGATACTGATTTTGTTTCTTTTGGATAAATACCCAGAAGTGCAATTGCTAAATCATGTAATATTTCTATTCTTAATTTTTTGAGGAGTGTTCACACTGTTTTCACAAAGAGTTCAAAAATTTATATTTTCAACAACAGTGCACAGTTATCTGTTTGTTTTTCACATCTTTGCCAACAGTTGTTACTTGTTATTTCTTGTCTTTTTTTTAATGTAGTCATTCTAACAGGTGTTAGGTGAGATCTCACTGTTGTTGTTGTTTTTCATTTACATTTTCCTGATGTTTAGTGATATCACATACCTTGTTGGCCATTTGTATGTCTTTTTTGGAAAAAATGTCTATCCAGTGCTCCTTCTTATTTTTTATGTTTATTTTTTGGCTATAAAGATTCATGCATTCTTTATATACTTTGGGTATTTAACCTTTATCAGTTATATGATTTGCAAATAATTTCTCCATTCTGTAGGTTGTCTTTTGATTTTGTTAGCAGTATCCTATGCTGTGAAAAAGCTTTTAAGTTTGATGTAGTCCCATATTAGTTTGTGTCTACATACCGTACAACAGAAGACAATGATTAACCACTGATGCATGTTCTTTTCTTATTTTTTTCTGTTGTTTTACCTTAAAAACCACTTGAGGAGACATTCTAAAATGAAATATGATATAGTACTGAAAGGTGAAACTGCAGGGTTGGGAACTCTAACAGTTACTGGGGAAGAGCAAAGAAGAATGAATAGCATTGCTAATAAGATGATGTGCACAAAGGCAAAAGGAGGGTATGATGTTGCACAACATATATAGTTGGAACATGGGATGTAAGAAGCACAGACCAGGTAAACTGGAAATTGAAAGGCAAGAAATAGAACATGTAAACATTGCAGAGCTTGATGTCAGAGAACTAAATGAATTAGAATGGGACGTTGCCAGTCAGGAACCTACAAAGACTTCTTGTTTGGAAATTATGAACTCAGAAGAAATGTAGTGTCTTTAATATTAAGGCAAGATGTATCACAGATAATTAGGGGCCACAATGCAAGGTTTGAGTAGATAATATCAATCAGACATCCAAGAACACATATTAATATAACCATCATTCAATTTTCTCTATGCTTCAACTGTGGAAACTGAAGAAGATGAAAATACCCCTGGTTGTTGTGGCTCAGTGGATTAAGTGCTGGCCTGCAAACCAAAGGGTCGCTGGTTCAATTCCCAGTCAGGAAACACATCTGGCTCGCAGGCCAGATCCCCAGTTGGGGGCACATGAGAAACAACCACACATCAATGTTTCTCTCTCTCTCTCTTTCTCTCTTCCTTCCCCTCTCTCTAAAAATAAATAAATAAAATATTTTTTTAAAAAAAATAAGATGAAATTGAAAGCTTTTAATGGGAGTATTCAGGAAGTTGGTCACGTACAAAAACAAGATATTATGATAATTACTGATGATTGGAACAGAAAATTAGGAAATAAAACTGAAATAAAATCTTTGAAAATTTGGACTAGGGGTCAGAAATGAAGCAGGAAGAGACTCATGGATTTCTGCAAAGATAGCAACTTGTCCATTACAAACACATGCTTCAAACAACCAGAAAGATGACTATATATGGATATCACCTGATGGTCAATATGGAAATCTAACAGACTATGTAATTGGAAGCAAGATATGAAGAAGTTCTATTCTGTCTGCCAAAATAAGACCAGGAGCTGATTGTGGTACTGACCACAAACTATAATATCAAACATTAAGGAAAAGATAAAGGAGAGCACTAAAACATATATAGCACAAGAATATAATATAATAACATTCCTGATAGATTTTCCCCTCGGGAAAGCTGTTCCAACAACAAATAGGAATCATTAGCAGCAGGATCAGGGCCACAGAACCTACTATATATTAGTGACTACTATAATGAGTTAACAAATTAGTTTCTTAGTACATGTCTGCTTAGTTAAGCACAATAGGATTAAATTATATTTGCCATACTTCAAATTTTCTGAATGAATGCATGATAGTTCTTTTGGTACCTTATACAAGTTAGCACATGGTTATGCCCAAAATCAGTGTTAAAAATTTATAAATTGCTTGATTTATGTAATTCACAAGATATATAGCCTTTCTCATTTCTTCTATCTATATGCCTGTTTAAATCCAATAGGCCAGAACCTGTTTTGTGGACAAAGGATGGTGGAGAATTACCAGATCCTGATCGAATGGTTGTGAGTGGTAGGGAGCTAAACATTCTTTTCCTGAACAAAACGGATAATGGTACATATCGATGTGAAGCCACAAACACCATTGGCCAAAGCAGTGCAGAGTATGTTCTCATTGTACATGGTGAGTACCTTTTTGATATCATTATATGTGAAAAAATAAATCTCCTAAAAAACTGTTTAAATGTATCAAAATATTTATAATAAGCAAAATTAATTTTTTTTCATTTAGAAGGATTCATAAGTGTATCTCCACAATTCACTTTTAATATATTCCGAGTAAAACTAATACAATAAATTTAAAAGACATACTAAAATGTAATAGTAACTATAGTTATAATAGTTATTCTTTTATATCAAGCATCTTCTCTGACCATATGTATGAAACTAGAAATTGATCACAGAAAAAAAAAACCTGAAAAACAACACAAAGACATGGAAGCTAAAAGCATGTTATTAAGCAATGAATGGGTTAACAATGAGATCAAGGAAGAAATCAAAAGATACCTTGAAACACAACAACCCAAAGTCTATGGGACACAGTGAAAACAGTCCTAAAAGGGAAATTCCTAGCATTACAGGTCTATTTCAAAAAACAAAAAATTATTTTGTGATAAGTTTTATTATAAATATAGTATGTAAATTTGGGTGGTGATTTAAATTATATTAATGTTTTTTTCTTTCCATTTTTCCAATAAATGCTTTTAGTTATAAATAAGAATCATTAAAATTATATGTCCCTTAAGCTAATTTTGGTTGTATTCTCATAAAGATAGATTTATAATCATTATACCTAGTTTCACAAAGAATGATAGCTTGTGAGTGAGATGCAGTCAAGGCAGAGGGGTACTTGGCTGCATCTCAATGATAATGATAATGATCTTCATATTAATGATAATGGCCTTCATTTCTTATGAACAACAATTTGAAACACCCACAGACATTATTTTCTCCTTTCCATTAATCTCACAATTTGAATATATATAACAAAATGGCAGGAAGAAATAATAACACACAGGATTGAAAAGTATCTGTTTTTCCCAACCTCCAAAAGCCACGATGTGTTTTGTAAGGTGATACTAATGCATTGTTAGATGGAGAGCACTTTTATGAGATGGAAAATACTGCAGTAAATGAAGTAAGTAGGGTTTCTTTGTTGCAGAACTTCTGAGAGTTTATTTTATATTCCAGGGTACATTGTGAATCTCCAAAAGAGGGAAGACTTAGAGAATGTAATATTTTCCTCATGTATTTCACCAAGAAAAACATGTCTAAGACGAGTATTTTGTCTTACACTATATACAGTATTTGAAATGAGTATTGTATGAAACACAATGTTCTCATAATCCAGCGGATCTTAGAAATTACTAAGAGGGTACATTTGTTTGATATATTTGCCCAGGAATCTAATTATAGAATACAATAAAAAGAATGAGTTAGTTCCCAAAAATGGAAGGAATGGTAAAATTTAATTCTTTAACATGAGATGTAAATTTAGGGAAAAATAATTAAGTTGTGTTTTTTTCAAGTTTATATTTAGCTATATTGCAGGTTAAATTGGATTAAAATATAATATACTAAATCAGTATTCTACTTCCAAGTTGCTGTAGTGTATGCAGTCTCTCAATTGTCATACCACTTTGCTATCAAAGGCAAATGAAAGTCTCTTAGTGAATAGACTGTCCGCATATGAATGTCTTGAAGATAGTAGAGCTGAGAGATTAATTTCTAACATATTATAAATTGTACCAATTTCAACACATGAGAAAGACCTAATCAAATTAGACTGATATTAAATTGGAATTAAATGTGGTAAACCCCTGTAGACACACTCTGCCAGTCCTACTGTCAGAGAGAATATAGCAGTCACTGGGTGTATCAGGAAGATAAGTTAGAACCTTATAGCAGAATCCAGATGTAGCTCTCCATTCATGCTGACCTGGATGTGTAGATCATGCAGTCATGCAGATGAAGTCTAGGCTGATTCACTCTTAACTTCCTCAGTCTTTCTCTCCCTTCTGGGAACCTGATAGAATGTTGCATAGCGCGTCACATTGTGTCAAAAGCAATACGGCAATAAAAATATAGAGAATTACAAGGGAGTGACAGAAAATAATAAATGAAGAGAATGTGATTTGTTTCTTAAAGTAATTCAAGTGGGGAAAATTTGTATGTTTTCCCAGTGTTTGCAATCTAGCCAACAGCATGATTTCCTAAGTAGCCAAGCTGCCTTTAGGTAGTTGGCAGGTGACGCATTTCTAATAAATACTTCTCTAAGCACTTTTCAAGAAGTCATTTTTGGCTTTGCTTTCTGAACTACAATTCATCAAAAGCACCCCATAGATTAATGCTATTCATGCTACTATATAAATGCTGTGAAGTTCAACAGTAGTTTACCTAGGATTATTGACACAAGTAATGAGAGGCTCGGTGAAAGAGTGGGGCCATATTACACTGTGTTTAAAAAGGCTCCAATTGGATTCATTACAAAATAAAGGTTCTTTTTTCCTCCCTTTTTGCACACAGAGTATAATGTTTCATTAGTCACTAGTTGTATAAATATAAAAAGCTACTCTCTTCTGTTAATGTTTCGGCTGTTTCTAAACCCTACTAAATGATGAAATTTGAGTGGTATTTTGGTCTGTAATGAATGCTGTATGCATTTTGGAATGGAGTGATAAGTGATCATTTGTGAGAACTTTACCCTTTTATCTTTTACCCCAAGGTTGATTTTTCATTAGCTGATAATTTCATATAGCTCTCGCACAGAAGGTCCTTCCATGGCTGAGATTCTGTCTTCGACTTCACCAGAGTTGCCTGCATTCTATTGATTCTTAACTTGGCAGAGATCTTAGCACTTTCCTGTGAAGTCATTTGCTATACAGATGCCATCTTAATGGCTAGATTTTATTCTTTGGGTCTCAGCGGAAGTTTATTAATTAAGTGGTATCACATTTAATTGTTAACAGCACTGACATTTTATGTTATGGACACTGGAAGGTGTTTTTATTTTCTGTCCTAATTACACCTTTGAAAATTTCAGCATTAGAACTACAGATGGTAATTTTAACTGCCAGTATGAAATTCACTTTCAATAAAGGGCCTAACAAATCTGAGCATGTAGGATAAAACATTATACTTAAGAAACTTTTACACTGTGGAGATTCTCTTAGGAAAGAAATAACATCTTTTTATTAACAAGCTCAGCTATGAGAAATTAATCGGTTAACTTGGTAGTTACAGTCATACTACTAATTTTATAGTCACTGTAGTTTTTTCATTTTTGCTTATGTATAAAATATTGAAGTTATTCTCATGCTACTATCAGGATCCTGGTATTTACTTAGAATGGCTGATTACTTCCATATTAATGGTTGTGAAATATGCTGTTGCATTGCTATTTTTACTGTTTGTAGAACTCAGATCAAGAGAAAAATGCATTCATTCACCTAATTTACACTTAGCATTTACCCACTGATTGTAAAGGAACTATACAACTAAGGTCAATAGCACTCAAGAAGTTTAGAGTTTGATATGGAAGATAAGCGTTCAAGTAGTTATCATACAAAAATGGAAGTGCTGTAAGAGAATGGCCATACAACAATGTAGATTTTCAGAGTTCAGGAATGTGGTCCAAATGTCTGGAATTTAAAAAGGTCCTGACTAGTGTGACTCAGTGGATTGAGTGCCAGACTATGAAGCAAAGGGGTGGTGTGGGTTCGATTCCCAGTCAGGGCACATGCCTGGGTTGTGGGCCAGGTTCCCTGGTGTGGGGCATGTGAGAGGCAAACACACATTTATGTTTCTCTCCCTCTTTTTCTTCCTCCATTCTTCTCTGTCTATAAATAAATAAAATCTTTTTAAAAATAAAGAAAAACAGTACTCCTGGATTATTCATAAACTAATGGTATATATCATAAATAGATGTACCCAATGTAGTGTCAGGTACACAGATAGATTTGCAAAAATTTAGACTACTATTATGTTACTGGTAACCTTACAATATCAATGGCAATATGAATTCAGTGCTCTGATATGAAACTTACTCAAGAGTTACATATAATGTACTGCCAATACTCCTCCCTGAATGGTTCCAAAACACAAATTAGGTTATCTTGATCAAAGAACAAGAAAAGTCTAAATACTTCTTATTTAACAATAGAAAACTTAAAAAGTTAACAATACAACAAAGCAGTAATATATGTTGAGCAGCATAATAATTACAGTCACCCTTGTTTCTCTGATGCAATGTCAAATTCAGAAGATTTAGATAAAATGTATTCTCATAAACTGTTTCATAATTATTACTCCATTCGACTATTCATCTTAAAATTATTTTACCAAATTGGAATCAGATACTAATAACCCTAAAACAATTCAAATTCTATTTTGTATGCTAGTTGATTTAGGAGAGATTCTAGAGGGCTTAGAAGAGTTTGTGTAGACTGAAGAAAGAAGACCTTCAATTATTCAATTCGGCACTATCCTATGCTAAACAAATTGAACTGAAATGGCAAGTCAGTCCTCAGGATGGAAAGTGAAGGTCTTCACTCGCATTTACCTATAGTCTTTGAAAACAGTAGATGTTTACATGAATGTAAACATCCTGAGTGAAGACTATCCAGATCAATATCTTTCAATATAGAGAACCTAGAAAATAACTGTTAATCACAAAAGAGATGGCTGCAGAGAATTAATTACAAGTGACCTTAGGCAATTCTTATTTTCCAGTCAGAAACAATCCAAGTGTATACATACACATACACATATACACATATACATACATATACATTTACATATATTTAAACTTCTCAAGTATTCATGTTTATTTTTCATCAACTGATTAAAATAATATTATTTTGAAAGTTACAGAAACATATAGCACCTGGAAATTTTTGAGAAAATATCTACAGAGATTGTGAAACACCAATTACTGCATTCCCTCTAAATCCTAAATTTCTTTCTTCTCATTTTTTCTAATGTCTTTTATCTCCCTTCACACTCATGATAGACCAGTTTGTAACCACTCTTCACAGTACAAGTGGAAGATGGACAGAGATGTTGGAACTCTTTAGTATCACAGGACTCAGGAAGAAATACAGTAATACAAGTAGGAAAAAACGA